GAGAGGAGGTATAGATTGGACATCCGCAAAAACTACTTCACAGTTAGGGCGGCTAGGAGCTGGAACCAACTTCCAAGGGAAGTGGTGCTGGCCCCTACCCTGGGGGTCTTTAAGAAGAGGCTGGATGCCTACCTGGCTGGACTCATTTCCCCACATCTCCCCTCTTTCTACCTTTTGCCAACTTGTGCCTGGATCTTCGAAGCCTTTTTGTGGCTCCACCTCAAATCCCGCATTAGCTGCAGCTGCTGTCACCCTTCCTGCCAGGCACTCTTAACTGTTGACTACATGCAGCTGGGTTGCAGGCTCAGCCCTGCTCCTTACACAGACCCTCCAGCTTTTTTCACATACACGCCCAAAGCAGCCACCTGGCAGAATTCCACCCTATGCCCTCACCTCTCACAGTTTTTTCCTTTACCAGCCTAATCCTAGTTCATCCAATTATCTCCCAGAAGATACAAATTCCCTCATACCCTGACATGCTGTACCTCAATCAGACTTCCAGCCAAAATGGTTCAATACCGTTTTCCTTTAAATGACAACTCAGATCCTGGAGCACAGCTCCATGGTGAGCAATGGATACTGCAGTCACAGTATCCGTGTCAGGCCCTGAATTTAATATTAAAATAGGCAGCCCTAAAGGCTGCTCTTGTGAAACATAATATTGTTTTCCTCAAGTCCAATCACACGAGCTTGCAAAATTCCCAAGTTCTGAATTTTTAAAATAAATGGCTCCATAAATATTTCTTGAAGAAAATCGAATAGGAAAGGCCAGAAGCCCTACCTTCACAATTAAACGGCCTACAATAAGACCTAATGTGTTTATTTAAACATGTCAAGAATTGCTCCCTGCGGAGACTGCTTTGGGATTCATGCTTCACAAAGTTCACCGATACCTAAAGCTTTCATTTTGTCTTGGCACAGGTGTTACCAGCTCTTGGAGGTAACACAACACTGAGACTTTTAGATTACATCATTCTGTATTGCATAGCATGTTTTCTTTTCTTTACCATTTGATATGATTTTACTAGCTGACCTTCGCTGAACCATGAGAGAGTGCCATTTCAAGCTTGCAGATGCTATGAAGCTAAAAATGAATGTTTTATATACACCAAACAGCAGCAACTAAAGCAGTCAGTTAAGGCCATAACACTGAACAAGGTGCTCTAACAGGAGTCTAACTTTAAACAAAAATAGTCCCAGTAAAATCAAACTTAAACACACATGTGGACATCTTCCTGATCCAGGGCCTATGTGAAAAAAGTGCAAGATAGGGTCACACTGTTCTGAACACTAAGCTGTGATACCTCCTGATTGGGATGGACTCCAAGACTGAAATTGGAGAAAAGATCCAGATGGCTCAATGGCACTAATTGTTCTTGTTTCGAGACATCTAACTGTAATGTAAAAAGAGCAGAGGCAATGAGCCAGCTCAGCAATGGGGTCAATAAAGACAGAGGGGAACCCACAACCCATTCCCGGCAAGCCGTGTAATGTGGTTACAACCCATCTGAACTTTCAGGATGGACTCCAAGGACAGAGCAAACCTATCGCTGCAGAAGTAACTTCTGACCAGTCCCCTCAACCAGGATGGCCAGAAAATGCCTTGCTGCCAAAGGTGGCACATGTCGGTTTATCATCATACATTATATCAGAAGTCAGTATGGCTATTTCTTTCTAATCCTTAGAAGGTATCACTGCTACTGGATCCTTCAAAGGGCTTTAACATTATGAGTTACAAGTGTCAATAAATACTCTGTAAATAAGGGATTTTTTAACATGTAAGTTTAAAGACACTTGTATTCTTGAGCCCACAACTTCCGCGGTGCTCAGTGCCCAGCCAAGAGCCAAGACGTGCCCCACAGAGCTGTGTCATTCAGCCCGCAGGGCTCCCTGTGGGTCCCAACACGTGCTACCCTATCTCCCATCGCTGCTTGGTAGCAGGAGCCACAGAGACAATGCAGCCTGTGCTTTGTCAGGCTTGGGGGGGCCTGGTGATATTTGACCAGGAAGGAGGCTGTGGCCAGGAGGGCCCTGGGCCTGCAGAGCCAGTCTTCGCCCCTGTCTCTGAGCTGAGTATCACCAAGCAGTGTCCACTGGTTCCTTGGACTAGTTGGGGGGCCAGCAGGCACTGTCCAGTGAGCTCTGCTCAGCATCACCCCTTTGGCACTCGTTTCAACCCTTTGACCTTCACTCCTGTCCCTGTTTTCCTATTATTTGTCCCCAGCAATCAACTGCCCCCCTTCTCTGCCGCCTCCCTATGCGAGGGAGGCTAAGGGCGAGGTGGCGGGTGGTGCTGAAAGGCAGCAAACGGGCCTCCGTGCGGCTGCTAAACAGGAGGGAGCGGGGTCCCCTGGCGCCTCAGACCCGACACGCGGAGGTCTGGAGACGTCCCTGGATGCTGCCTCCCCGGGACAGCGCCCCCCTCCGCCGCCGGGTGCAGCGCGGGCCAGGGGCCCCGCAGGCTTGAGGGGGGCAAATAAGGAGCCACAGCCAGGCTCGGCCCCCGGACAGGACGGGCCGGGCCGGGCCGGGCTAGGCCAGGCCAGACCAGACCAGGGCTCTCAGACACAGCGCGGGGCCAGGGGCCACCTTCCCGCCCGCCGGAACTAAGGGCCTCTGGACCCCGGAGCGGCACTGGAAAACTGGGGCACCATCACGGCGCCGCCTGACTCGCCTGGGGTCACCCGGCGCGGAGGGGGCGGGGCCAGTCCTGCGCATGCGCGGTGCGAAGGGAGGGGGCGTCCCGGTTCGGTGAGCCGTTACCCGCGGCGGTGCTGGCGGAGGACCCGGCTTCCTCTCTATGGTTCCCGCGGCTCAGAACGGCCGGTCACGTGAGGACCTGCGAAGGAGCGAAGAGGTGAGCGCGCGGAAGGGCTCTGGGAGTGGGAACGGAGCGCTTTTCTCACCGGTGGGTAAGGGACGTAGGCCCGAAGGTGCAAGGCCGGCTGGGTAGTACGCATTTGCGGGAGCTGGAGTATGCGCCGGCTGTGAGGTTGCTGCCCGGATCCCCGCCCTGATCCTGAGGAGCAGACACCCCCCCGAAGGCGCGAAGCCAGGTCGCTAGTGCGCATGTGCGGGATTCGGAGCATACGTACTGTCGGTGATCGGGTTCCCGCCCTAATCCTGAGGCGCGGAGGCCCCTCCAGCGCGAGGGCAGGTCAGTAATGCGCATGTGCAGGAATCGGAGCATGCGCAATGCCCTGCCCGGGCCCTGAGAGGTGGGGCATGTGCTCAGAAGCTCAAGGGCTCTGGTGTGGGGTGCGGGTGGGGTCTGCTTGAGACAGCCTGGGGGAGGAGAAACACCCTCCTCATTCTCCCCGAGCCACTCAGTGCACTGTAGTGGGACCCCCGTCTTCTCCTCCCTGAGAGGCCTGGGGTAGTCAGAGCCAGACTATGTAATTATTTGGGTCTGGGGGCCACATAGGGAGGTGTGATGAGCTGTTGTGGGCTGGGTCCATGCAACAACTCTCCCAAATTCCCTGGATGCATCCACACGTTCGTTAATGTGCCTCAGATGCTGCGCATTTAATTTACTACTTCCTTAATTTTGGACTAACCTACAGTTACTGGTAGTGGGGTATTAGCATGGTTTGTGTCATGATGCACTACTGCGCAGTGGTATTAAGCTAATGCGCAATAAGCATCTCATGTAGACATACCCCCAGTGTGGGATGGGCCATGGGCAGGGAGCTGCATTCAGGAGAAGGACAGGCATCTGCTCCCTGCTGGGCTCCACTGCTCAGCTGAGCTCCCCTCTCCTTCAGAGACAGCTCCTCCTGCCCCTGATGCGCTGCTCCAGGTGGGGGAAGCTTCAGCCGGTGGGTCCTACCCCAGCACATGGGGCTCTTGTAGCTCCCAGCCACCTTCTACCTGCTCCATCCACTCAGCTGCGGTTTCCCCCAACCCGAAGCAGCACAATGGACAGGAGCAGGAGGAAGAGCTGCTGCTGGAGACTAGCTGAGCAGCACCTGTGGGGCTGCAGCTGCACCAGGAGCCTCCCCGCAAGAAGCTGTGCACGCAGGCTGGGGCCTGTAGGCACAGTCAGGAGCACAGCCTGGGCTGGGCTTGGCCCCATGCAGAGCACCACAGGGGCAGTCGCTGCCCAGATCCAGTCAACTGACTGTATTTTGTCCAACTCTTGAATTAGAGAGTGAAGGTCTGACCTTTGTGTTGCAAGAGTCTACAAATGACTCCCAATGGGAGGATCTCACCTACACAGTTTAAGCTGATGACTGAGGATTGCTCTTGGGGGGGCACGGCAGCAGTGGGAGCGTGTCAGTGGTGAGCAGGGAGCTCCTGCAGGTGCTGCCAGCACTGACTGGGGGGTGGCAAGCGCTGACCAGACATTGGCAGTCACCTGCAGATGCCACTGGCAGCTTCAGCGGTGGACAGCGGGGATCACTGACTGCCTACAGGCACCGCCGGCGGTGTCGGCGGCAGGGTGGCAAGCGGCGACCGCCCACAGGTATCGCTGACAAAAAGGCATCACTGACACTGTAGGGGGTGCATGCGCCCCTAGCTTGTTCTTTTGGCTTTTTGGCTAGGGGCAAGCAAGACTATGGGGCATCTAAACCCCAAGGCCTTGGGGCTCGCATGTAGGATGCCTGCCATGGGTTTGGGAGTATCCTAAGCCCCAGGCTGAAGAGTTCGGGAGATAAGATACTTGCCAGTGGCAGCACCACACAGACCTCAACAGTTGAGCTCTGCTCAGTCGATAGAATTTGGAGCTGATTTGGCCTGAGACATGGAATTTTAAAAAAAAACCCAATCCCAAACCACGTGATGCACATATGAATGCAAGAGCCAAGATCTCCCAAGTGGCTTTTCTAAACAGGAATTAAAACACCTCCCAAGGCGCCACTCTGGAGGGTTTGGGCCATTGCGAATGGTGTCCTCTTTGTTTCACAGGTGTTGTGTGGGTGCGGGCTGGCTGCGCACTGATGGACAGTGAGGTGCAGAGGGATGGGAGAATCCTGGATCTGATTGACGATGCTTGGAGGGAAGACAAGTTACCATATGAGGATGTGGCAATACCCCTAGTAGGTGACCACTGTGCACTGAATTAACAGCCTGATCTTGAGTCCTTGCATTTCCAAACTTCTTAACCCCTTCCAAGCAAATGATCCTTGCAACATCACCACTTTGTACCAGAAATACTCCTATACCACTCTGTTCAGCTTCCCCTTTGTTTTGTGTGTGGCAAGAACGTGGGATTCTCTAACCCGCTTCCTCCCTTCTCTTTCCCTCCCTCCCCCATCACTCTTTTTTCTCTCCACAGGTGGGGGTACAAATGCTTTCATCCCACAGCTGTTTGACTCCTTGGAAGGAGGAAACATCTCCCCTCCTCTTAGTCAGTTGTCAGCCTCTTTGGAGGGTACAATGCTTCTTCCCATCCCCTGCCTCTGTTTGGGGTTAGGGGCAAGCATAAGTGACGCTCTTTTATCAAACGACATTTGATTATAGTGCTGGTTGTGTTTGAAGCAGTTTGCCAGACTGGGGTCTGTGGGTCTCAGATAAGTAGCTTTGTGTTGGCAGTGTGTGGAGAGTTAGCATTTAAGTACTGTTGGCTACTTTTCATTCCCAGCTGCTAAAATGCATTCAGTGTTTTCCTAAGAGTACTTTTCCATGTAAACAATCACTGTAATTATTACTAAAATGGTGATCACGGAAGCATCTGTTGTGTGATCCCAGTATTGAAATACAATCCATGCCAGAGGTGCCCCTTAAATTGTGCACTTGAACATATTGGTAGTCTCTTTGCTCATAAAAGTACCTACACCACAAGGCAGCTTCCCTTCAGGACATGGGTGTGCCAACTCATCTGTCCCTGTGGGGCATGTGAATGGCATAGGACTGGTTCATGGGCTGGGTAAACAGCCAGGGGTCAGCTCGTGAACTGTCTTGGACCCTCCCCACCACATGTTGGATCCAGCATCTGCTTTGGGCGGTCCATGGTGGATGTTCCATGCAGCACAGGTCCTTGACCAGCCCGAACAAGTGCCAGATCTGGCATGCAGGGGATCCAGTGGAGCACTGCTGCTTCCAGCATAGCTGATCCAGCCCTTGCTCTGGCATTCTGAAACTGTGCTGCAAGTGGTGCCTGTTCTGAATTGGTTGGAGCAGGAGCTGGATCCACCACGGGGATGGGAGCCAGATGACATGGCTCCATGGGCTGGATCTGGCCAATAGATCTTATCGTTGACATCTTTCCCTTTCCCCAGGAACATGTAGTGTCACCAGTCAAGAGCTAGTGGGAAAAGTGGCTCCCCTTATCCTCAACTGCATCCAGTGCTAAGGGCCACTACACTCCCCCTTTCCTTATCTGTCAGCTGGAGTGAGGGTGTCCCAAGGACTTGCCCTTTCTCTATTCCCTTACCATTCTGCCAGCAAGGGTTGTGGGGGGAGGAACTGATTTCTCCTCTGTCTGTTAGCAACTATTTTTGATCTATCATGAACTCTGAAGTACACCAGGATCTTTGCAGCCCCTTTCCATTGGATACATAGATTCATAGATGTTGGGGTCAGAAGGGACCTCAATAGATCATCAAGTCCGACCCCCTGCATAGACAGGAAAGTGCTGGGTTCAGATGATCCTAACCAGATGCCCATCCAACCTCCTCTTGAAGACCCCCAGGGTAGGGGAGAGCACCACCTCCCTTGGGAGCCCATTCCAGACCTTGGCCACTCTAACTGTGAAGTAGTTCCTCCTAATGTCCAGTCTAAATCTGCTCTCTGCTAGCTTATGGCCATTATTTCTTATGACCCCCAGGGGCACCTTGGTGAGTAGAGACTCACCAATTCTCTTCTGCGCCCCCATGATGAATTTATAGGCAGCCACAAGGTCGCCTCTCAACCTTCTCTTGTGGAGGCTGAAGAGGTCCAGGTGCCCTAGTCTCTCCTTATAGGGCTTGGCCTGCAAACCCTTAACCATACGAGTGACCCTTCTCTGGACCCTCTCCAGGTTATCCACATCCCTCTTAAAGTGTGGCAGCCAAAACTGGACGCAGTATTCCAGCTGTGGTCTGACCAGTGCCCAATAGAGGGGAAGTATCACCTCCTTGGT